AGGAATACAATCCTACCCAAACCTTGACTTTAGTTCAGCAAGAACTATTTCAGAAACACCCAGAACTATGTTTTGTGTCTTAAACCACTAAGTTTATGGTAATTTGTCACAGCAACAAGAGGAAACTAAAGCAGCCATTTAAGCAATAGCAAGTCTTCCAATATTTGAATCCAAGATGTCTTTCCATTTATTTAGACCTTTTTCTTTATTTTAACAAAGTTCTATCATTTTTCTTGCATGAATTGTATACTTCTTTTGCTAAGTTTATTACTAAGTATTTTGTTCTTTTTGATACTATTAAAAAAACCTTCCTTAATTCCATCTTAGATTGTTCATTGCTCACGTGTAAAGATATAATTGGTTTCTGCATATTGATCTTGTATGATCTTGAAAACGTACTGAACTCATGTGGAAGCAGTATTTTTGTGTGGGTGAATTTCTTTCCATTTTCTACATAAACAATCATGTCATCTGCAAATAGAGGTCATTTTACTTCTTCCTTTCCCATCACTCTGCCTTTTATTACTTTTTTCTGCTTAATTGCCTTGAGCAGAATTTCCAGCATAATGTTTAACAGAAGTTGTAAGAACAGACTTCCTTGTCTTGTTTCTGATCTTACGGAGTGTTAGAGAAATATAAATTAAAAAACAGTCTCCTAAACTTGATACATCACATCAACAAAATGGAGGATTAAAAACCAAGATTATCTGAATTGATACAGAGAAAGCATTTGATAAAATCAACATCTTTTCATGATAAAAATCTTATACAAATTGGGTATAGAAATAACATACCTCAACACAATAAAGGCAAACATGACAGATTCACAGCCAGCATTACTCTGAGTGGGGAAAAACTGGAAGCATTTCCATTAAGATCTGGAACTAGACAAAGAGTTCTACTTTCCCCACTGCAATTCAATGTAATTCTAGAATTTTTAGAGTAATTATAAAAACATTTTAAAAAGAAATCAAAGGATACAAACTGGAAAGGAGGAAGTCAAATTATCCCTGTTTGCAGATGACATGATCCTTTACATAGGGAAACCAAGGGACTCTACTAAGAGATTCTTGGAACTTATATGAGAGTTCAGCAAAGTTGCAGGATATGAAATCAACATGCAAAATAGCATTTTTATATGCCAAGGACATTCTGAGAAAGAACAACAAACAACCAAAGGAGCCATTGTCTTTACTTTAAAAAAAAAAACTATTAATTTGAGAGGTAGAGTTACAGACAATGAGAGGGAGAGACAGAGAGAAAGGTCTTTCATCCACTGGTTCACTCCCAAAATGGCCGCAACGGCCGGAGCTGAGCTGATCCAAAGCCAGGAGCCAGGAGCTTCTTCAGGGTCCCCCACATGGGTGCAGGGGCCCAGCACCTGAGCTATCTCCCACTGCTTTCTCAGGCTGTAAGCAGAGAGCAGAATTGGGACTAGAGCAGGCTGTAAGCAGAGAATTGGGACTTTCCCAGGCTATAAGCAGAGAGCAGCCGGGACTAGAACCGGTGCCCATATGGGATGCCGGCGCCACAGGCAGAGGCTTACCCCACTGTGCCACGGCACCGACCCCAGTATGTATGATCTTTCAAGTGTGATTTTTGTTTGGCAGAGTTCACTAGAGGAGGTCAAGGGAGTGGGTAGCTGACATCTCCACAGCAGGTTTTGTGCACAGTGAGTATGTTACAGTTTCTGGAGGGAACTGCAGTCATGAACTCAGTATCCCTCATCCAGCACCAACCAGCCACACTCAGAGGCAGGTCTGCATTCCTAGTCAGTAACCTCTATTCAGAGGTCTCAGTTCAGGTGCTTTCCAGAAATCTCGGCTGAGCCCTCCTTTGGGGGGACCTTAGTTGAGTCAGGGCTTTCAGCTACTGGTAAGACTTTTGCATACTGATGATTAATAATTACATGCATCATAAAAGGTTAAGCCTCTGCCTGCCATGCCAGCATCCCATATGGGCGCCAGTTAGAGGCCTGGCTGCTCCACTTCCCATCCAGCTCCCTGCTGATGTCCTGGGAAAGCAGTGGAAGATGGTCCAAGTGCTTGGGCCCCTGCACCCAAGTGGGAGACCTGAAAGAAGCTCCTGGCTCCTGCTTTGGATGGGCCCAGCTCTGGCCATTGAGGCCATTGGGGGAATGAACCAGCAGATGGAAGACCTCTCTTTCTCTCCTCTCAAATAATTAAACAAATCTTTTTAAAAACGTGCTCTTAAAATGGTGGAAAATAGGGAGTAGATGTTATACTTCTTATTGAGTGAAGCATTATGCCTTTTATTATAATATAAACTTAAAATATGTTATCTCAAAAGCTAAAAAAAAAAGGGAGAGAGAAGGAAGGTGGGATGGAGAGAGAGGGAGGGAGGAAGTAAGGAAAGAAATATCATTATATTCTTAGAATTGTTTCTATGAACTATATTGAATATGTTAAAAACTAATTAATTTTAAAAAATAGGGAGTGGCAGTTTGGTGCAGGTGTTAAGACAACACTTGAGATGCTCACTTCTCATATCAGAGCACCAGTGTTTGGGTCCAAGCTCTTTTTGATTCCAGATTTCTGATAATGTATACCTGGAAGGAAGCTAGTGATAGCTCAAGTACTTGGGCCGCACCTCCTACAGGAGAGACCTGGATTAAGTTTCCATCTCTTTGCTTCAGTCTGCCCCAAACCTGGTTGTTGCAGGCATTAGGGGAGTGAACTAATGGTTAGAAGATGTCTGTTTCTCCAGGAGCCACCCCCCCAAGCCATCTCTACCTCTATTTCTATCTCTCTGCCTTTCAAATAAATACAAATAAATAAATAAAAATCTTTTTAAAGATACAGTTAGGTTATGGTGAAACCTAGTGTGCCTAAGTGTACACTTCTTATATTATGAAATATTTCATAATACAGTATAATGAAAATATTGAAATAATAATTCTAGGAGTTGATATTAAGTGATTTTAATTTTTATGTTCATGCATTTTTCAAATTCTTCTAAACAATATGATTTCTCTTATAATGGTAATAAACCATATGTCTGGTTTTCAAAAAGGCATCATTATCAGTAACTTTAAGCAGAGAGTGATAAAATGTATATGCTTTAATCTTGTACAACAAAAACAAAGCCGGAGGCATCTCAATACCAGATTTCAGGGCATACTCCAGGGCAGTTGTAATCAAAACAGCATGGTACTGGTACAGAAACAGATGGATAGACCAATGGAACAGACTGAAACACCAGAAATCAACCCAAACATCTACAGCCAACTTATATTTGATCAAGGATCTAAAACCAATTCCTGGAGCAAGGACAGTCTATTCAATAAATGGTGCTGGGAAAACTGGATTTCCACGTGCAGAAGCATGAAGCAAGACCCCTACCTCACACCTTACACAAAAATCCACTCAACATGGATTAAAGACCTAAATCTACGACCTGACACCATCAAGTTATTAGAGAACATTAGAGAAACCCTTCAAGATATTGGCACAAAAAGAGTTTCTGGAAAACACCCAGGAGGCACAGGCAGTCAAAGCCAAAATCAACTATTGGAATTGCATCAAATTGAGAAGTTCCTGTACTGCAAAAGAAACAGTCAGGAGAGTGAAGAGACAACCGACAGAATGGGAAAAAATATTTGCAAACTATGCAACAGATAAAGGATTAATAACCAGAATCTAAAAAGAGATCAAGAATCTCCACAACAACAAAACCAACAACCCACTTAAGAGATGGGCCAAGGACCTCAATAGACATTTTTCAAAAGAGGAAATCCAAATGGCCAACAGGCACATGAAAAAATGTTCAAGATCACTAGCAATCAGGGAAATGCAAATCAAAACCACAATGAGGTTTCACCTCACCCCGGTTAGAATGGCTCACAACCACAAATCTACCAACAACAGATGCTGGCGAGGATGTGGTGAAAAAGGGACACTAACCCACTGTTGGTGGGAATGCAAACTGGTGAAGCCACTATGGAAGTCAGTCTGGAGATTCCTCAGAAACCTGAATATAACCCTACCATTCGACCCAGCCATCCCACTCCTTAGAATTTACCAAAGGAAATTAAATTGGCAAACACATAAGCGGTCTGCACCCTAATGTTTATTGCAGCTCAATTCACAATAGCTAAGACCTGGAACCAACCTAAATGCCCATCAATGGTAGACTGGATAAAGAAATTATTGGATATGTACTCTTTAGAATACTATACCGCAGTAAGAAACAACAAAATCCAGTCATTTGCAACAAAGTGGAGGAATCTGGAACACATCATGCTGAGTGAAATAAGCCAGTCCTAAAGGGACAAATACCATATGTTCTCCCTGATCGGTGACAACTAACTGAACACCAAAAAGGAAACCTGTTGAAGTGAAATGGACACTATGAGAAACGGTGACTTGATCAGCATAGCCCTGACTGTTAATGAACAACTTAATACATTATCCCTCTTAGTAGTTTTTTTGTCTGTTCTACTTAATATGACTGGTTTAATTCTGTAATTCATACACAGTTATTCTTAAGTGTTGAAATTTAACTGAAATGTGATCCCTGTTAAACATAAGAGTGGGAATAAGAGAGGGAAGAGATGTACAATTTGGGACATGCTCAAGCTGACTTGCCCCAAATGGTAGAGTTAGAAACATACAGGGGACTCCAATTCAATCCCATCAAGGTGGCATGTACCAATGCCATCTCACTAGTCCAAGTGATCAATTTCAGTTCACAATTGATCATAATGAAAGGACTAAGAGTCAAAGGGAGCACATAAACAAGTCTAGTACCTGCTAACACTAACCGATAGAATAAATAAAGGGGAGAGTGATCCAACATGGGAAGCGAGATACTCAGCAGACTCATAGAATGGCAGATGTCCTAAACAGCACTCTGGCCTCAGAATCAGCCCTAAAGGCATGCAGATCTGGCTGAAAAGCCCATGAGAGTATTTCAGGCATGGAAAGCCAAGACACTCTGGCAAAAAAAACAAAAAACAAAACAAAAAAAAAACCCTAAATGAAAGATCTCTGCGAGTGAGATCCCAGTGGAAAGAACAGGTCTTCAAAGAAGGAGGTACCTTTCTCTGAAGGGAGGAGAGAATCTCCACTTTGACTATGACCTTGTCTAAACAAGATAAGAGTCGGAGAACTCCAAAGGCTTCCATAGCCTTGGAAACTCATGACTGGAGCATAGGGAGATTACTGATGCCATAAATAGGAGTGTCAATTTGTAAAGTCAACAACAGGAGTCACTGTGCACTTACTCCTCATGTAGGATCTCTGTCCTGAATGTGCTGTACATTGAGATTTAATGCTATAACAAGTACTCAAACAGTATATTTCACTTTGTGTTTCTATGTGGGTGCAAACTGTTGAAATCTTTATTTAATGTATACTAAACTGATCTTCTGTAAAAAAAAAAAAAGAAAGAAAGAAAGAAAGAAAGAAATTATCAATTCCCAACGTGACTCTCACTGGGATTAAACATGACAATAGGTCTGATCTGATTTCATCATCATTTAAAAAATCATCGATTATTTTTCACTTTATGTTTCTGTGTGGGAGCAAACTGTTGAAATCTTTACTTAATGTATGCTAAACTGATCTTCTGTATATAAAGAGAATCGAAAATGAATCTTGATGTGAATGGAAGGGGAGAGGGAGTGGGAAAGGGGAGGGTTGCGGGTGGGAGGGACGTTTTGGGGGGGAAGCCATTGTAATCCATAAGCTGTACTTTGGAAATTTATATTCATTAAATAAAAGTTGAAAAAAATGTGTATGCTTTAGAAATTGAACTATTATTAAAATCTCCTATTTGTGTAAAAAGTGTTCACAGGTACTTACTTTTTTAAAATGCAAGCCAGGGGCCAACACTGTGGCCTAGCAGGTAAAGCCTCCACCTGCAGTGCCGGCACCCCATATGGGCACTGGTTCAAGTTTCAGCTGCTCCTTTTCCAAACCAGCTCTCTGCTATGGTGTGGGAAAGCAGTAGAGGGTGGCCTAAGTCCTTGGGCCCCTATACTTGTGTGGGAGACCCCAAAGAATCTCCTGGCTCCTGGCTTCAGATTGGTCCAGCTCTGGCCCTTGCAGCATTTGGGGAGTGAATCAGAGGATGGGAAGACCTCTCTCTCTCTCCATCTCCCTCTCCCTCTCTCCCTCTTCTGCTCCCTCTGACTCACCCTCTCTCCCTCTTCCTCTGCCTCTCCCTCTCTACCTCTTCCTCTCTACTTCTTCCTCTCTACCTCTCCCTCTACCACTCTGTAACTCTACCTTTCAAAGAAATAAAGATAACTCTTTAAAAATGCAAGACAGGGGCCGGCGCCGTGGCTCACTAGGCTAATCCTCCGCCTAGCGGCGCCGGCACACCGGGTTCTAGTCCCGGTCGGGGCGCCGGATTCTGTCCCGGTTGCCCCTCTTCCAGGCCAGCCCTCTGCTGTGGCCAGGGAGTGCAGTGGAGGATGGCCCAGGTGCTTGGGCCCTGCACCCCATGGGAGACCAGGAAAAGCACCTGGCTCCTGGCTCCTGCCATCGGATCAGCGCGGTGCGCCGGCCGCAGCGCGCCGGCCGCGGCAGCCATTGGAGGGTGAACCAACGGCAAAGGAAGACCTTTCTCTCTGTCTCTCTCTCTCTCACTGTCCACTCTGCCTGTCAAAAAAAAAAAAAATGCAAGACAGGGCTGGTGCTGTGGTGGATTAACACCCTGGCCTGAAGTGCTGGCATCCTATATGGGTACCAGTTCTAGTCCCAGCTGCTCCTCTTCCAATCCAGCTCTCTGCTATGGCCTGGGAAAGCTGTAGAACATGGCCCAACTCCTTGGGTCCCTGCACCTATATGGGAGACCTGGAAGGAGCTCCTGGCTCCTGGTTTCAGATCAGCACAGCTCCGGTCATTGCAGCCAATTGGGGAGTGAACCAGCGGATGGAAGACCTCTCTCTCTCTCTCTCTCTCTCTCTCTCTGCCTCTCCTCTCTCTGTGTAACTCTGACTTTCAAATAAATAAATAAATCTTTAAAAAAAGCAAGCCAAAATTTAAAAGCTGAAATATATATATTAAAATTATTACATCTAGGACCGGCGCCGTGGCTCACTTGGCTAATCCTCCACCTGTGGCGCTGGCATCCCATATGGGCGCCGGTTCTAGTCCCGGCTGCTCCTCTTCCAGTCCAGCTCTCTGCTGTGGCCCGGGAGGTCAGTGGAGATGGCCCAAGTGGTTGGGCCCCTGCACCTGCATGGGAGACCAGGAAGAAGCACCTGGCTTCTGGCTTTGGATCGGCGCAGCGCCGGCCATGGTGGCCATTTGGAGAGTGAACCAACAAAAGGAAGACCTTTCTCTCTGTCTCTCTCTCTCTCACACACTGTCTGTAACTCTACCTGTCAAATAAAATTTTAAAAAAAAATTATTACATCAGGTCAGGAACTGAAATGCAAATAATTATAGCTTTAACAGTTGTTCCTTTCCATGAAGGTCCTTTGGAAAACACAAACCTAAATATTACAGGATTACCTGAATGTGTTCTTTCAAACAATGAGTATAAATTACTCTCTGTAGAGATATATTTAATGATTCATAGACTTTTTTTCAATAGCTAGAACATCTAATTCAACAGTTCCCAACGATTTTCTAGAACTCTGTCTCTTAGGTAGGAAGTCAGAAATTGAGCTTATGTGTATATGAGAAAGGCCTGAAGACCAGCACCCATGGCGGAAGCTCCAGAAGCCCAGTATCTGCACTTCAAAGTCCTGCCCAGATCCTGATGACCTTCCAGGGGGTCCTGACCCTTCTACCCGATAACCTTCCAGGCACAGCATGGTATCTGCACTTCAAAGTCCTGCCCGGATCCTGATGACCTTCCAGGGGGCCCTGCCCCTTCTACCCGATAACCTTCCAGGCAGAGCATGGTATCTGCACTTCAAAGTCCTCCCTGGATCCTGATGACCTTCCAGGGGGTCCTGCCCCTTCTACCTGGCCTGATAAACATCCTTCCTCTAAGGCAGGGCAACGCCAGCCAGGCTTCCCCTGTCTGATAACTTCAGGGGAAAAACTCAGAAAGGAATTTTTCATATTTACACTGAATAAGTCTTTTGTTCAGGAGGAGAAGAAGGAGAGGGGGAGAGAAAAGGTGGGAAGGCAAGACCCATCCCCTTAAAAGCCCCAGCCTAAATGTGAACTACACTCTCTCTCTCAGGTTCTGTCTGGAGAGGTGCCCATCCATTCTTACGGATGTCCCTACCCTAATAAACCTTGCTATGTTGCTTTCCACTGCTCTCTGTCTCACGCCTGAATTCTTTCTTGTGCGAAGACAAGGACCCTTTGCTTCTCCGGTAACACTGTCCACATGAAATAATGTGCAGAGGCTTATCATATAGAAGAAACCAAAACAAAGCAGCTTGCTTTGAGGTAGGGGACTGTGTCATGAGTCCTGGCTTGCTCCTCTCACACCTTCACCTTCTCTCTCCCTCTGTGGCTCCTTCCTGTCTGAAGACAAACTTCCTAGGTCTCTAACCACCATGTGTCCATTCACATTCCCTCTCAGCCGGTTTTCTCTCCTGGCTACTGTGCAATTCTGACTACCATTGCTCATCAAGCCATCCAGTATTGCATCAACCCTTACCACTCCCCTGGACTCACTGTGAGTAATCACTCCCCACCTGCAAGTCCAAGAGATATTCTTCAGTCCTTTAGGTAGAATCTTGCAAAAACAATTGTTCTCAATACTTGGTGGCTCTACAGTACTGGACATTGTTGACTTCAGAAAAGCATTGTATTCCTCCTTGGAAACTTTCTCATATCTCATCTGTATGACTTTATTTTCTCTTGAAGCTTCTTTATATGCAAAGAACAAGAGGGCATGGACAAGTGGCCCCCTGGGGGGAAGGGCTCCCAAAGTAGAGCAGTGCTTAGTCTTTTTTTTAAGATTATTTATTTTTGAAAGGCAGAATGATAGAGAGAGAGAGACACAGCAATCCTCCATTTGTTGGTTTACTCCTCAAATGACCACAATGACCAGGGCTGGGTCAGGCCAAAACCAGGAACCCAGAACTCCATTTGGGTGGCAGGGGTCTGTGGGGAGCAATCCGGACTGGACTAAGTTACTGGAATTAAGACTTATTCTATGCATCTGCTCCCCCACAATATGGCGCTGGGAGAGAAGAAAACAGCTTCTACACAGCTGCCTCCAGTTCAGCTAATAAACTGTAGGACTTGCTCCTGATTGGAGGAGAGCAGCGTACTCGGCGTGTGGGCAGCCGAGTTGGGATTGGTGGAAGAGGACTATAAAGGAGGAGAGAGACGGCATGCACCAGGAACATCTAAGAGGAACATCTAAGGGGAACATCTAAGGGGAACACCTGTGCAGCCCCCGAGAAAGCCGGCCGGCGGTGTGCCGCTCCCCTGCGGAAGTGGGGAATGTGGCCAGGGGGAACTGCCCTTCCACGGAGGTGGAAGGGATAGTAGCCAACCCGGGAAGAACCAGCAGCAAACCCGGGGAGGGCCGAGCAGACAAAAGAACAGCGCAGGGTCCTGTGTTGCTCCTCCACGAAGAGGGGGAGTGACATAATGGTGCCGTGACTCGGATATGAAGCCTAGGCAGGGTTTAGTGTCGTTCCCCCATGAAGACGGGGAGCGACAGGGGTCCAAGCACTTGGGTCATCATCCGCTGCCTTCCAAGGCTCATTATCAGGAAGCTGGATCAGAAGCAGAGCAGCAGAGACAACCAGCATTCCAATCCTAGGATGCCAGTGTTAAAGTGGCAGCTTAACCTGTTGCCGCACAATACCAGCCTCTTTCATTCCTTTTACATTTTGTATGCCTATTTCCTATAAGTCTCTTCAAATTTTCTCTCTCTCTCTCTCTCTCTCTCTCTCTCTCTTTCTCTCTCTTCCTCTGGCTGCCATTTAAATGATATGGCTCCCTGAGGTCTTCTTCAGCATTTTTCCATTTCACAGCAAGTTCTACACAGATGTTTATGACCCTGTGTCTCCTCACCAGCTAGGAATTCTCTCCAGAGGCTCTAGAAACACATTTTGGTTGCTTACTGAATGTGATAGCCTTACTTTCTTAAAGGCAACTCAAATTCAGCATATTCAAAACTAAATTATCTCCTCTTCTTTGCAAATCCTATCTGAGGTTTTCCCTAATCATTAGATGCTATTGTGTGTTAAATTAGGTCGCCTGTAAAGATATGTTGAAATCCTAAGGCCCAGGGCCAGCATTGTGACATAACAGGATAAGCAGCCGCATGCAATGCCAACATCACATGTGGGCACCACTTTGAGTCCCAGCTGTGACTGAACCTCTTTCTCTCAATCAGATTCCTCTGTGTAGAACACATGAGAAATTTGTCATCATCTCCTCCATGAAAATTGATAGGAGCAATGTTTCTCTGATATTTATTTCGAGAAGAAGCTAAAGAGCCCAGACACCAGGACTGTGAGATCTTCAACACAGGGAAAGAGAAATATGAGATTAGAAAGCAGCGCAAGGTTGATCAGAAAGCTGTCAATTTGCAGATTTTACCAAAATCAAGGCTATTTCTCAGCTCCAGCTCTACCTATGATCTGTTTTTGCTCTAACAAATGCAATTTATCCTCACAAATTGGTGTTTTCTAAATTTATTACAAGGAATCTAATTAAATAACTGATTAAAAAGAAAACAGATACAGGCATAGACACACACACACACACAGAGAGAGAGAGAGAGAGCGAGAGAGAGAGCGTGCCATGCAATGACAGGTAAAACATGGATTAAATGTCTTCAAGGATACCCTTTCCCACTCCGACCTTTTCCACCTACCTCCCAGCCTTTGGCAATGTGGTCAGCAGAGAGCCCCATTTCCCAGCACTTGAGCTGTTTCTATTCCTGGAGTGAGAACTGACCTCCAGTGTGGGTTCCCTCGTGGCAGCTGTGACAAGTTGCCATTGTGGCTTCTACACCAGACCTCTGTCATCTGCGTTAAAAAGATTCTGGCTTCTGTAACACTCCCATGGAGTTTGGATAATGCAATCCATAGGTATCAGGAGCTTAAGTAAGACATATGGGCAAACTTTGATCAATAAGAGATGAGAAATGAGCTCCTCTCTATTCCTACACACAATGGACTCTTCCAATGCACAGAGGTTCCATAAGATTTGTCCCCAGACACCACATGATAAGTAACTCGTTTCTTTTCTTACTCTTATGTATTAATTCATTTTTATTAGAGAAAGAGAGCTGTCATCCACTGGCTCACTCTCCAGATGTCCATAACATCTGGGCTAGGCCAAAACCAGTAGTCTGGAACTCAATGTGAATTTTCCCTGTGGGTGGCAGGAACCTAAGTACTTGACTTATCACCTGCTGCCTCGAAGGGTGCATGGTAGCAAGAAGCTGGGATTGGAAGTACAGCTGGAACACTAACCCAGGTGCTATGATAAGGAAAAGCAGGCATCCCAGTGCCTCTTAACTGCTTTGTCAAATGCCTGTCCCACTGACTGTGGCAACCAAGGTAACTCACCACATTGCAGTTGGGGTCCTTCCTTCCCTTTCTCCTTTCTGCTTTTCCCTTACTCTCACTGTTCTGGGACTACCACCTCCCCTCCCCATTAAAGACCTAGAACGTAAGCTTAATTTTCAGTGATATCTAGCTAAAACAGTAAATTTCTTAAACATTATTTTGTCATCTAAAACTAGAGAGCCTTCTCATAGCGCCATCAAAAATAGTATGTGAGACAATATATGAAAAGCACAGTTGGCCGGCGCTGCGGCTCAACAGGCTAATCCTCCACCTGTGGCACCAGCACACCGGGTTCTAGTCCTGGTTGGGGCACCAGATTCTGTCCCGGTTGCTCCTCTTCCAGGCCAGCTCTCTGCTGTGGCCAGGGAGTGCAATGGAGGATGGCCCAAGTCCTTGGGCCCTGCACCTGCATGGGAGACCAGGAGAAGCACCTGGCTCCTGGCTTCAGATCAGCGCAGTGCACCAGCCGCAGCATGCCGGCTGTAGGAGCCATTGGGGGGTGAACCAATGGAAAAGGTAGACCTCTCTCTCTCTCTCTCACTGTCCACTCTGTCTGTCAAAAAAAAAAAAGCACAGTACTTAGAAATAATCAGAAAGAGCTGTAATTATTACTAACAAAGACATGAGGACACACAGCCATTTTTGCATTTGCTCCCATTCTGGTTGGAGAAGGCAGCACTGAAGAATGTGTATATATAATGTACCTTCCTTAATCCTTTCAGCGCTACCATAACTACTGCACCTGTGCCACAGAAAAACTGGAAGAACTAAAGCTCATTTACACAGAAAAGGCACTTGTGAAAGATTGTGAGGGCTGAAGATGGCGGAATAGTGAGGACGAGCACTGATAGTCCAGGAAAAGATAGGTTGATAAAAGAGGAATTACAGTAATCACAGGGAAAGGCTCGGGGGAAAAAAATGCAGAGGAAACCCTTCCGGATCTAGTGGATGTAACACAGACGACCAGCGGGGAAAGCAGGGATGCCCACGGCTCTGAGTCCACACATCGGCGCTGGAAGGGGAGGTGAGCTCAGTAACCCGAGACATTGGCAAGGAAATGGCAGACAGAGTCTAGAGGGAAGCGGGCTTAAGGCATGAAAGTTCACCAGACTGACTACAGGAGAGAAGAAAAAAAAAGTGGGGGGTACTGGTATGGGCGAGTTTCTCTTGCCTTGCAAAGGCCAGCAAGAGACAAAGAACAGACACCATTCTGGATATACATAACAAAAGGGTAGAGCTAATGAACTGAGGCAGGGGAAAAAAGAGACAGTGGGTGAAAGAACTCATGGAGGTCACATGAGTACTCTCCAGGGATGCTACAATTCAGTAACCTAGGCAACCCGGTGGGAGACCGCAGGAGAAACTGAGCATGCACAGATTCTTTGGGTGGTCTGTTGGAAAAAGCAGACAAATGATATACACATAGAAGCCAGAGATCGGAAGCTAAATACCATCAATTCTGCTCAGCTGTGCAGTATTACTTCCCTCTTGAATAAATAAATAAAGAGAGAGAGAGAGAGAGAGATTTACCATGCCGAACCTGAGGGTGTCTGTCACCGTTGGCACACCCTTAACCATGAAGAACGAAGCAGAACTCTCTGGCCACACCAATCTCAAGCCTCCAAGGCTCCTCCAACAGCAGACAATCCACTTAACACAGACATAGTATAAAATAAAAAAAAAATTAAAAAAAAAACTCACAGTGAGGGAAGAAGAATTCACAATGCCAAGCAACAAACAAAAAAAAACGAGGGAACAAGATCAACGATGACACTATGACGCCTCCAAATAAACAAAACACCCCAAGCCAAGATTATGAAGATGATGACATAGAAGAAATGTAAGATACGGATTTCAAAAAATTTATGATAAGAACATTTAGAAGTTTTCAAAAGCAAATTCTTGAACTACAAAAATCCTTATTGGACAGGATAGAAAATCTCTCTCATGGAAATGAAATTTTAAGGAAGAATCAAAATGAAATGCAGAAACTAGTAGAACAGGAAAATGTGATAATGAAGAGAAATCAAAATGAAATGAAGAACTCAATAGATCAAATGCCAACACATTAGAGAGTCTAAAAAACAGAGTCAGTGAAACAGAAGAGAGAATATCAGACTTAGAAGACAGAGCACAGGAAAACATACAGTCAAACCAAAGAAAAGAAGAGGAAATTAGAAATCTAAAAAATATTGTTGGGAATCTACAGGATACTATTAAAAAAACCAACATTCGAGTTCTAGGAGTTCCTGAAGGCATGGAGAGAGAGAAAGGATTAGAAGGCCTTTTTAGTGAGATACTTGCAGAGAACTTCCCAGGTTTGGAGAAGGACAGAGACATCCGAGTACAGGAAGCTCGTAGAACCCCCAATAAACATGACCAAAAGAGATCCTCACCACGACACATTGTAATTAAACTCACCACAGTGAAACATACAGAAAAGATCCTAAAATCTGCAAGAGAGAAATGTCAGATTACTCTCAGAGGATCTCCAATTAGACTCACAGCAGATTTCTCATCAGAAACACTACAGGCTAGGAGGGAATGGCGAGACATAGCCCAGGTGCTAAGAGAGAAAAATTGCCAGCCCAGAATATTATATCCTGCAAAGCTCTCATTTGTGAATGAAGGTGAAATTAAGACCTTTCATAGCAAACAGAAATTGAAAGAATTTGTTGCCACTCGTCCAGCCCTGCAAAAGATACTTAAAGATGTGCTACACTCAGAAACACAGAAACATGGCCATCAATATGAAAGAAGGTAAAGGAAGAAAACCTTCCAGTAAAAGAGCATAGGAAGCTCAAAGCATATACTAGAAAATATCTTTGGGAAAATGGCAGGGCAAAGTCATCATGTATCAATAGTCACATTAAACGTTAATGGACTTAACTCTCCAGTCAAAAGGTACAGAATGGCTGAATGGATTAAGGAACAAAACCCAACTATTTGCTGCCTACAAGAAACACATCTCTCTAACAAAGATGCATGCAGACTGAAAGTGAAAGGCTGGAAAAAGATATTCCATGCCAACAAAAACCAAAAAATCAGGTGTAGCCAAATTAATATCAGACAAACTTTAATACAAAAACTGTTAAGAGAGAAAAAGAGGGGCACTATATAATGATTAAGGGCTCAATTCAACAGGAAGAGGTAATTATTATAACTGTATATGCACCTAATTACAGGGCACCAGTCTATCTAAAAGATATGTTAAGGGACTTAAAGGGAGACTTAGATTCCAATACAAAAGTACTGGGGGACTTCAATACTCCACTCTCAGAAATAGACAGATCAACAAGACAGAAGATCAACAAGGAAACAGCAGATTTAATCGACACTATTGCCCAAATGGATCTAACAGATATCTACAGAACTTTCAATCCTACATCTAAAGACTTTACATTCTTCTCAGCAGTGCTTGGAACCTTCTCTAGGATTGATCACATATTAGGCCATAAAGCAAGTCTCAGCAAATATAAAAGAATTAGAATCATACCATGCACATTGACAGACCACAGTGGAATGAAGTTGGAAATTAGCAACTCAGGAAACCCTAGAGAGTATGCAAAAACATAGAGACTGAACAACATGCTCCTGAATGAACAATGGGTCATAGAAGAACTCAAAAGAGAAATCAAAAACTTTCTGGAAGTAAATGAGGATAACAACACAACATATCAAAACTTATGGAATATGGCAAAAGCAGTACTGAGAGGCAAGTTTATAGCAATAGGTGCCTATATTAAGAAATTGGAAAGGTACCAAATAAATGAGCCTTCAGCGCATCTCAAGGACCTAGAAAAACTGCAGCAAACCAGACCCAAATCTAGTAGGAGAATAGAAATAATTAAAACCAGAGAAGAAATTAACAGGCTTGAATCCAAAAAAACAAAAAAACAAAAACAAAAAAAAAAAAAAACACATTACAAGAAATCAGCCAAGTGAAGAGCTGGTTTTTTGAAAAAATAAATAAAATTGACACCCCATTGGCCAACTAACTAAAAAAAGAAGAGAAAAGACCCAAATCAATAAAATCAGAGATGAAAAAGGAAACGTAACAACAGACACCACAGAAATTAAAAGAATCATCAGAAATTACTACAAAGAGTTGTATGCCAGCAAACAGGAAAATCTATCAGAAATGGATAGATTCCTGGACACATGCAATCTACCTAACTTGAACCAGGAAGACATGGAAAACCTAAATAGACGCATAACTGAAACAGAAATTGAAACAGTAATAAAGGCCCTCCCAACAAAGAAAAGCCCAGGAACAGATGGATTCACTGCTGAATTCTACCAGACATTTAAAGAAGAACTGACTCCAATTCTTCTCAAACTATTCAGAACAATCAAAAAAGACGGAGTCCTCCCAAATTCTTTCTATGAAGCCAGCATCACCTTAATCCCTAAGCCAGAGAAAGATGCAGCACTGAAAGAAAATTACAGACCAATATCCATGATGAACACAGATGCAAAAATCCTCAATAAAATTCTCGCCAATAGGATACAACAACACATCAGAAAAATCATCCACCCAGACCAAGAGGGATTTATCCCTGGTATGCAGGGATGGTTAAACATTCACAAATCAATCAATGTGATATACCACATTAACAGACTGCAGAAGAAAAACCATATGATTATCTCAATAGATGCAGAGAAAGCATTTGATAAAATTCAACACTCTTTCATGATGAAAACTCTAAGCAAATTGGGTATAGAAGGAACATTCCTCAATATAATCAAAGCAATTTATGAAAAACCCACGGCCAGCATCCTATTGAATGGGGAAAAGTTGGAAGCATTTCCACTGAGATCTGGCACCAGACAGGGATGCCCACTCTCACCACTTCTATTTAACATAGTTCTGGAAGCGTTAGCCAGAGCTATCAGGCAAGAAAAAGAAATTAAAGGGATACAAATTGAGAAGGAAGAACTCAAACTAGCCCTCTTTGCAGACGATATGATTCTTTACTTAGGGGATCCAAAGAATTCTACTAAGAGACTATTGGAACTCATAGAGGAGGTTGCCAAAGTAGCAGGATATAAAATCAATGCACAAAATCAACAGCCTTTGTATACACAGACAATGCCATGGCTGAGGAAGAACTGCTAGGATCAATCCCATTCAAAATAGCCACAAAAAAATCAAATACCTTGGAATAAACTTAACCAAGGATGTTAAAGATCTCTACGATGAAAATTACAAAACCTTAAAGAAAGAAATAGAAGAGGATACCAAGAAATGGAAAAATCTTCCATGCTCATGGATTGGAAGAATCAATATCATCAAAATGTCCATTCTCCCAAAAGCAATTTATAGATTCAATGCAATGCTAATCAAGATACCGAAGACATTCTTCTCAGATCTGGAAAAAATGGTGCTGAAATTCATATGGATAATCAGGAGACCTCGAATAGCTAAAGCAATCTCATACAACAAAAACAAAGATGGAGGCATCACAATACCAGATTTCAGGACATACTACAGGGCAGTTGTAATCAAAACAGCATGGTACTGGTACAGAAACAGATGGATAGACCAATGGAACAGAATTGAAACACCAGAAATCAACCCAAACATCTATAGCCAACTTATATTTGATCAAGGATCTAAAACCAATTCCTGGAGCAAGGACGGTCTATTCAATAAATGGTGCTCAGAAAACTGGATTTTCACGTGCAGAAGCATGAAGCAAGACCTCTACCTTTCACCTTACACAAAAATCCACTCAACATGGATTAAAGACCTAAATCTACGACCTGACACCATCAAGTTATTAGAGAATATTGGAGAAACCCTGGAAGATATTGGCACCGGCAAAGACTTCCTGGAAAACACCCAGGAGGTGCAGACAGTCAAAGCCAAAATCAACTATTGGGATTGCATCAAATTGAGAAGTTCCTGTACTGCAAAAGAAACAGTCAGGAAAGTGAAGAGACAACTGACAGAATGGGAAAAAATATTTGCAAACTATGCAACAGATAAAGGGTTAATAACCAAAATCTAAAAAGAGATCAAGAAACTCCACAACAACAAAACCAACAACCCACTTAAGAGATGGGCTAACGACCTCAATAGACATTTTTCAAAAGAGGAAATACAAATGGCCAACAGGCACATGAAAAAATGTTCAGGATCACTAACCATCAGGGAAATGCAAATCAAAACCACAATGAAGTTTCACCTGACCCGGGTTAGAATGGCTTATGTACAGAAATAAACTAACAGTAGATACTGGTGAGGATATGGGGTAAAAGGCACACTAATCCTCTGTTGGTGGGGATGCAAACTGGTGAAGCCACTATGGAAGTCAATCTGGAGATTCCTCAGAAACCTGAAGATAACCCTACTGTTCGACCCAGCCATCCCACTCCTTGGAATTTACCCAAAGGAAATTAAATTGGCAAACACAAAAGCGGTCTGCATCTTAATGTTTATTGCAGCTCAATTCACAACAGCTAAGACCTGGAATCAACCTAAATTCCCAGCAACAGTCGACTGGATAAAGAAATTATGTGATAAGTACTCTTTAGAATACTATACAGCAGTAAAAACAATGAAATCTGGTCATTTGCAACAAAATGGAGGAATCTGGAACACATCATGCTGAGTGAAATAAGCCAGTCCCAAATGGACAAATATCATATGTTCTCCCTGATCGGTGACAACTGACTGAACACCAAAAAGGAAACCTGTTGAAGTGAAATGGACACTATGAGAAACGGTGACTTGATCAGCATAGCCCTGACTGTTGATGAACAACTTAATACTTTATCCCCCCAAGTATTCTTTTTGTCTGTTCTACTTAATACTATTGGTTTAATTCTGTAATTAATACACATTTATTCTTAAGTGTTGAAATTTAACTGAAAAGTGATACCTGTTAAATATAAGAGTGGGATTAAGAGAGGGAGGAGATGTACAATTTGGGATATGCTCAAGCTGACTTTCCCCAAACAGTAGAGTTAAAAACATACCAGGGGATTCCAATTCAATTCCATCAAGGTGGCATGTACCAATGCCATCTCACTATTCCAAGTGATCAATTTCAGTTCACAATTGATCATAATGAAAGGACTAAGAGTCAAAGTGATCACATAAACAAGACTAGTGTCCGCTAATACTAACCGATAGAATAAAAAAAGGGAGAGAACGATCCAACATGGGAAGCGAGATACACAGCAGACTCATAGAATGGCAGATGTCCTAAACAATACTTTGCCTCAGAACTAGACTTTGGGGTATTTGGATCTGGCTGAAAAGCCCATGGGAGTATTTCAGGCATGGAAAGCCAAGACACTCTGGCAAAAAAAAAAATGACCTAAATGAAAGATCTCTGTGAGTGATATCCCAGTGGAAAGAACAGGTCATCAAAGAAGGTGGTACCTTTCTCTGAAGGGAGGAGAGAACTTCCACTTTGACTATGACCTTGTCTAAATATTATCAGAGTCGGTGAACTCAGGGGGCTTCCATAGCCTTGGCAGCTCATGACAAGAGCCTAGGGTGATTACTGATGCCATAAACAAGAGTGTCAATTTGTTAATTCAACAACAGGAGTCACTCCTCACGTGGGATCATTGTCCTTAATGTGCTGTACATTGTGATTTAATGCTATAACTAGTACTCAAACAGTATTTTTCACTTTATGTTTCTATGTGGGTGCAAACTGTTGAAATCTTTACTTAATGTATACTAAACTGATCTTCTGTATATAAAGAGAATTGAAAATTAATCTTGATATGAATGATGAGCGAGAGTGGTAAAGGGGAGGGATGCGGGTGGGAATGAAGTCACTGGAGGGGGAAAGCCATTGTAATCCATAAGCTGTACTTTGGAAATTTATATTCATTAAATAAAAGTTAAAAAAAGAAAGGTTGTGAGGGCTACAAAGTCTTAGGGAGGACATGCGAGTTAGATTTTCCAGCTATACCATGAGAAACAAGGCTCCAATCACAAAGATATTGCCCCAGGTACAGCTTGCACCACTGACACTGGACAGAGGAAGTCAAGACTCTGGTGCTGCCATCTTCCACTACCACCTTTGTCCCCTGCTCCAAACTGGACTCTGTCTATTATAAGCTCTCCCTTCTTTCTCAACCACAAATCCAAGTCTTGCTGAGGTCGGCAGGTGGGTAGAGTAAGTCTAAGGGTGTAAGTAACATGGATGTGCTATAGTTGCAAGAGGGGCTAAGAGAACACATTTTTCTGGTGACTAGTTTAAGGAGAGGATTTTCATAATATGGGAAATTCCCTCAACTATAGAAAACATATTTCTAAGGTTAAGAAAACAGCCCAAAAATGTCTCAAATGTCCATTCTTTGAGAAAATATGCTAATTCCCCAACCAAACGGTGCCAAAGAAAAAAGAAAAACTGAAAGAGAAAGAGTGTGGGGACAATCTGTCTACTGAGGGAGGCAATTACTGTGAAATCTGTCATGTTTCCAGGCAGTCCTTAATGCTCCTTGCCTGGGGATTACCACTAGTTACCCCCATCAAGAGTCAACCTAACAGCTGTTCCTCAGGTCTTCGTAACGACTTGGGAAGCCACGGAAGGAGTGGGTTACATTACTCTGGGTCATTTTTTCTAGATCTCAGCTCACTGAAAAGAGTAATTAAAACTCAAAGTGAACAGAGGTATATCCCACTTGGGGTCAATGTTAATCACCTATCATTAGCTAGAAATCTTAAAAGAGAACATTACCTGGCCAATGAGTATCTGTAATATTAAGATCATAAAGTCACTGTTCTTAGGAAAAAAAAAAATATATATATATATAATGGAAACAAAAAATACTTGAACGAGGAAAGCAAACCACTTCTATCAAGTGTGTTCTCATCAACTGTTTCACCAATTAATCTATCAAGCATAGAACTCTAAAATTTCAAACTAGTTCCTCTCCTACGTAACATGTGTGGGGTGTGTGTGTGTGTGTGTGTGTGTGTATCTCAGTGAGAAATTTTGATTATCCCTTCAAAGTTTATATCCTATCACCCACTTATTTTATCCTCATTTCCAATAGGTCCAAACCAGCCCTAATATCTAAAGTATTGCAAAAGGACAAAGTGACTTCTACCTAGCTATTGCTATCTTCATGATCAAAAAGAACCACTTCTTTATTCTTTTGAGAGTTAAAGTGTGTGGGAGTGGGGAGGCACTTCCATCCATTGATTCACTTAATCTAAGACTCCTACATCAGTTGGCAAGAACCCAACCACCTGAACCCATCACCTGCTATCTCAGTGTGCTCATAAGCAGGAAGCTGGAATCACAAGAAGGACTCAAACTGTGGGATGTGATTTGTGGGATTTGGACATCCCCAGTGGTGTTTTTAAATGCAAGGCCAAATGCCCACACCAAGAATATAAAGTCCTGGGCCAGTGGTGTGGCTCATTTGGTTAACCCTCCGCCTGCAGTGCTGGCATCCCATATGGGCACCAAGTTCTGGTCCTGGTTGCTCCTCTTCCAGTCCAGCTCTCTGCTGTGGCCTTAGAAGGCAGTGGAGGATGGCCCAAGTGCTTGGGCCCTGCACCCACATGGGAGACCAGGAGGAGGCACCTGGCTCCCGATTTCAGCCATGGGGCCATTTGGGGAGTGAATCAACGGAAGGAAGATCTTTCTCTCTGTCTCTCTCTCTCTCCACTCTCTAACTCTATCTGTCAAATAAATAAAAAAAGAATACAAAGGCCTAATTGTAAAAAAGAGATGAGAAATTTCTATGAGAAAATCAGAAATTAATCACTAATGAATATTCCCAGGCACTAGATTTTCCATATGTTAATAATTATTTTGCTATAAAAAGAATTTTCAGTTCTTTGGTTTTTTTTTTTTGTATGTTGTTAGACAAACCCAAGTTTAAACCTCTGCTGCCCCGTTTACTAGCTATGTGATCTTGGTTGTTAAGGCAAAAAAGTACTTCGTACATTGCATTCTTCATTTCCTCATAGTGACTTGAAAATGGTGACTTCTGTGGACTTGGAATTAACATGTCGTCCCACTGCTAAGACTCCACATTTCTTTTCAGGGCTTCCTGCCATCTCCCATTAAAGAGAAATGCTCTAGGGGCAGTGTTGTGGCATAGCAGGCAAAGCTGACACCCACATACTGGCTTCCCATATGGGTGCCAGTTCATGCCTTGGCTGCTCCACTTCCCATCCAGCTCCCTGCTAATGGTCCGGGAAAGTACTGAAAGATGGCCCAAGTGCATGGGCCCCTGCCACCTACACGGGAGACCCAGACAAAGCTCCTGGATCCTGTCTTTGGCCTGGCCCAACACCGGCCATTGCAATCACCTAGGGAGTGAATCAGTGGATAGAAGATGGAAGATCTCTCTCTCTCTCTCTCTCGGTCCCTTTCACTCTGTAACTCTGATTTTCAAATAAACAAATCGAGAGAGAGAGAGAGAGAGAGAGAGAGACAGAGAGAGAGAGAGAGAGAGAGAGAAACACTCCAGACCTATTTTCTCACTGGTCTAAGAAAATTCCAGCAAATAATCTTCTCCCCAGTAATTACACATCCATCCTCCTTCCACCATGAGTCCCACTTCTGGACAACACTTCACAATAGATGAAAAGCTTTAATATAGGAAAATAGGCTCTGGGGGAAGGAGCTGAGTGGAAATTGCTTGTTCCAGATTAGAAAAGGGATTGCTGTGATTTGGTCAAGACTTGTCTCCCCAACTCGGGCGCGGCGGCCATTGGAGGGTGAACCAACGGCAAAGGAAGACCTTTCTCTCTGTCTCTCTCTCTCACTGTTCACTCTGCCTGTCAAAAAATAAAAAATAAAAAAAAATTAAAAAAATAAAAAAACTAAGTTACAGGAAAAAGCACTCAATACCAATGTATGCACATGTGTGTGTGCACGTGCTTCTGTACAAAAGGGCTGGAATTAGGACACCAAGCTGTGTTATGTGGGGTTCTTCCTCTTCTAGTTAGTAAGACTGTCAGTATTCTTAATGGGATTTTTTCCCTTTATTTTCCACATTGAGAATATACTGCTTTTATAATAAAGAAAATGTACAAGAAAATCAAAGCAACAAGTTCTGAAATTTTTTCAGATTTGGAGTTTTGTTCTTCTTGTTTTGGTTATATATAAATGTAGTCCTTTAATTTCAAATTCAATCTTGGACTAAAAGAACTGCTGAATATGGCAATGTTCACAGATATTTCTGTTTTTAATAGGATCATAAAAATATGTGCTATTGGTAACCTATCTTTTCAGGTCCTATTGCAAAGATGCCTTAAGGTCAACGAATTCATTACTGTATCACTTCTTACCATCATTTTTCTAACCAAATTCCCATTTTACTACACAAGATTCAAAATTGGCTGAAGATTAATCAAGAACAAAACATCAAGGACATGATAAAAAATGCCTAAAATACTCAGAGAGAATATAAAACTTTCTAAATATTGTCAATAGATTTTAGAACTCAGTAATGAGAAATGCCCACTTGTAATTTCATTATTTTTAGGACACTGTCACAACAGCCAGTTTAACTTCAACTTTTTTGCCCACAACAGCTGGAGTCCAGCTGACAAAGGGAAGCTCTGGAGTTTGTGGTGAGCCTCACTGTGGGAAAGGAGGAAAGGAGGAGAAAGCAGATTGGAATATATCTGGAAGTAATTTAATTTTCTGGGGCTGGCACTCTGGCATAGCAAGTTAAAACCCTGGCCCGCAGCACTGGCATCCCAAATGGGCACCAGATAAAGTTCTGGCTGCTCCACTTCTAGCTCTAGCTCTCTGCTATGGCCTGAAAAAGCAGTAGAAGATGGCCCAAGTCTTTGGGCCTCTGAATACATGTGGGAGACCCTGAAAAAGCTCCTGACTCCTGGCTTTGGATCAGCTCAGCTCTGGCCATTGGGGTCATTTGACAAGTGAACAAGCAGATGTAAGAATGGTCTCTCTTTGCCTCTTGTTCTCTCTGTAACTCTGTCTTTCAAATAAATAAAATAAATCTTCAAAAGAAATTTTTTTTAAAATTTTCTTCATCAGTTCTAAAGTAAAAAAAAAAAAAACAACACACCTTACATGAAAAAAAAAGAAATCTAGGAGGATCCATAGGGGAAAAAAAAGATAGCAGAAGGGGAGGAAATGCATTCCCAGGAGACAGCCGGAGAGAAGCTTGCAGTGGAAATTTTACAGAAAGAAGGGAGATACCACGAAGCAACAAAGACAAGAGAATGATGCAGCAGCAAGCAAGACACTGCAGCCAGTAGCAGGAGGGGACACCATCTTCTTAGAGCGAGATGAGAAGAACCCGTGACAGCCCTTTGCTCTGGTGACATTCCCTGGGGGAGAACCTCACAGACCCCAGTGACCTTGAGTCCATCCTGGAGTGCTGGCAGGAGGCAGGGTGCACGCCTAACCCAGTGAAGGGAGAGCACATTGCTTTCTTCTCAGTCTGTAACAAGGGTGCCCGGTTACTAGCAGAGAGGAAGCACCATCTAAAGGCAAGTAGATGCTGCTACGGCCCATGCATGACTGGGGGATTCAATCTGAGGGATAAATTCATGGTCCCCCACTTACTTTGAATCTGGCCTGCAGGGTTTGTGTGGGAAGGACACCCACTTAGGACTCTGAAGCGCTAACCTCCTCTCACTCTATCTGTCTTGACATGTTAAGGTGGAGCACTGAACAACTTCTATTGGGCATGCAACTGCCTCTGGGAACATCATAGCTCTCCCCTTGGATGGGAAATGTCTGCAGAACTGTGAGTCGATCGCATGTTCCCTGTGACGGTGGGAATTCTATGACTGTGTGATAGGCCACAGAGTGTGCCCTGGTCTTTAGGCAATCACTGCATTTGGATTCAGAGACTCAGAGTTCCCTAAGTGCTGGGGTAGATCTTCTGAGGAGTACACTGTGCCCCTGTGTAGTTTGTGCACCTGCATGGTGGACTGTGTAGCCATTGTGGGCTCACCTCAAGCAGTTGCTTCAAATTGGCACAGAGAAGGTGAGGCTATGATCATGACAGCCAAGGCAATCATACATCCCTGATGCTGGTCATAGAGGAGAACTCCAATCCCAACTCAGATGATGACACTATGGAATATTGCACCGCCCTGAAGCACTGGCCAGAGTTCCCTGGCCCCATTCAAGTATATACATCTGGATGTCCACTGAAACAGCAGGTACTCCACTAGGCCATAGAAGCAAATATCAAAGATAAAAGCCCTCCGAGGAGAAAACCAACAAGTTTTTGCAAAAATGCCTAAAAATAAACATAGAAACACAAGAAACATGAACAAGAAACACATTATGACTCCCCAAAAGGAACACAACAAAACTTCTATATTAAACTGTGAAGATGATGGGATTGATGAAACGCCTAGAAAGGAATTCCAAAGGATGATCTTAAGATTACTCAAAGACACATAGAAGTAAATACATGAGTTAAAAAATCTATACATAACAGAGGAGAAATCCTTCCACAATATAGAGACATGGAAAATAAATCAAACTAAATATTAAAACATCAAGAATTAAATATGTCAAATAAAAAATACAGTGTAGACTTGGTGAGGTAAAAGAAAGAATATCTGAACTAAAAGACAAATTCTTGGAAATATCTAAGACAAAAAAGAGAAGAAATTAGAAAAATCAAAAATAGTATTCAAGATTATTAAATAACCAAGCACATGTGTCTAAGAAAGTTCCTGAACATGTGAGAAGAGAGAATGGATTAACAGATCTATTCAGGAAAATAACAGCAGAAAATGTCCTTAATTTGGAGAAAGACAGAAGCATCCAAATACAGGAAGCATATAGAACTCCTACTAGATATGATCAGAAAAGATCCTCACCATGACACATTACAGTCCAACTTTCAAAAGTAAAACATAAAAAAAAAAAATTCTAAAATGTGCACTTGAGAAACACAAGCTTATCTTTGGAGGATCTCCAATTACACTGACAGCCAAATTTTATTTTTTTAACTTTTATTTAATAAATATAAATTTCCAAAGTACAGCTTATAGATTACAATGGCTTTTCCCCCCCATAACTTCCCTCCCACCCGCAACCCTCCCCTTTCCCACTCCCTCTCCCCTTCCATTCACATCAAGATTCATTTTCGATTCTCTTTATATACAGAAGATCAGTTTAGCATACATTAAGTAAAGATTTCAACAGTTTGCACCCACACAGAAACACAAAGTGAAAAATATTGTTTGAGTACTACTTATAGCATTAAATCAATGTACAGCACATTAAGGACAGAGATCCTACATGAGGAGTAAGTGCACAGTGACTCCTGTTGTTAACTTAACAAATTGACACTCTAGTTTATGGCATCAGTAAACACCCTAGGCTCTTGTCATGAGCTGCCAAGGCTATGGAAGTCTTTTGAGTTCACCAACTCTGATCATATTTAGACAAGGTCATAGTCAGAGTGGAAGTTCTCTCCTCCCTTCAGAGAAAGGTACCTCCTTCTTTGATGACTTGTTCTTTCCACTGGTATATCACTCGCAGAGATCTTTCATTTAGGTCATTTTTTTTTTTTTGCCAGAGTGTCTTGGCTTTCCATGCCTGAAATACTCTCATGGGCTTTTCAGCCAGATCCACATGCCTTAAGGGCTGATTCTGAGGCCAGAGTGCTGTTTAGGACATCTGCCATTCTATGAGTCTGCTGTGTATCCCACTTCCCACGTTGGATCATTCTCTCCCTTTTTTATTCTATCAGTTAGTATTTTCAGACACTAGTCTTGTTTCTGTGATCCCTTGACTCTTAGTCCTATCATTATGATCAACTGTGAACAGAAATTGATCACTTGGAATAGTGAGATGGCATTGGTACATGGCACCTTGATGGGATTGAATTGGAATCCCCTGGTATGTTTCTAACTCTACCATTTGGGGCAAGTCAGCTTGAGCATGTCGCAAATTGTACATCTCCTCCCTCTCTTAATCCCACTCTTATATTTAACAGGGATCACTTTTCAGTTAAGTTTCAACACTTGAGAATAACTGTGTATTAATTACAGAATTCAACCAATAGTATTAAGTAGAACAGACAAAAAATACTTGGGGGGATAAAGTATTAAGTTGTTCATCAACAGTCAGGGCAAGGACAGCCAAATTTTAATCAGAAACCCTACAGGCTAGGAGAGAATGGAAAGACACTGTCCATGTCTTAAAAGAAAAAAAAAAATAAAAGCTTTCAACCCAGAAAACAATACCCAGCAAAGTTCTCATTTATAAATGAAGGTTAAATAAAGACCTTCCAAAACAAATAGAAATTGAAAGAATTTGCAATCATTCATATAGCCTTACAAATGATACTTAAGATGTGCTGTCCACAGAATGTGCTATATCATGAAAGAATGTGAAGGCAGAAAATTTTCTAGCATAAGAACAAAGTAAATCCAAAACAAACAAGATGAAAATTTATGGAAAAAAATGGCAGGACTAAGTCATTACTTATCAATAATAACTTTGAATGTAAATGGCCTCAATTTTGCAGTTAAAAGATACAGATTGACTGAATGGATTAAAAAACAAGACCCATCAATTTGCTGCCTAAAAGAAACACACCTCACCAGCAAAGATACACACAGACTAAAAGTGGAAGGATGGAAAAAAAGATATCCATGCTAAAAGAAACTAAATCAGGAGTGTTTTATTCCAAAATGATGGAATAGTGGCAGGACAGTCCAAATCGCATGGGGAAAAATTAATATTTAAAAATGATAGGAACTACATGACATGAGATGTATGAAAACTAAAGCCATGAGAAATTCACAGTGGGATACCCAATGATAAC